AGGATAAATATTATTAAGATATTAGTTTTAAGGGTTTCCCATAATATAATGTTTTTATTTTTCAGAAAATCAGTTAAAAATATAAACAATTATTTATAATGTTACATGCCAAAAATAGCTTATACTAAAATCCAATATAATTATAAATTTAGAAAGTACTCATAAAATATTTTAAATAATCTTAATACTCGACGGAAATAAAATATGCAATACCTACGTACCGATATCATTTTTTTAGAGTCGTCAAAATCTTCGTAGCCGTCTACGATTTCCGTACAAACAGCTTTCCATGCTTCCAGCGTCTTAAATTTATCTTTATACTTTTCACTTGTTTTGTCCCACAGCACTACACGTGATTGGACTGATGTAATCAGCCGCTCAATATCAATGTCAAGTGAATCAGACATTGCCAAATGTAAATTACAAAATTTAAAATGAGAAAATGAAAATGAAATAATATTTTCCCTTGCCGAAAACGTGACCGAACCGAAACTAAACCGTATGTGTGTAAACGACTAATTGCTTTTGTGAACTCTGGACCCGAATGGAAACCGAACGAAACCGATTCGTGTCGAGGGGCTTTTCGGTTCTATCAGTTATCTATTAGGTACCGAACACACACCGTATCACCGTTTCACACTTTTCCGGCGGCTTCCGAAAACGAATCGAATACGCACCGAACCGAATCGAACCGTATAAGTGTGAAACGAGCCTAATGATCATTTACTTCACACACACACACACACACACACACACACGCACGCACGTACTATACGGATTGCCTTTACTCAACTCCTTAACACGTTGAGTGTCGCGGTCGACAATTTGTGTAGGCATCTTTATGGCCTTATAATTTACTCGGTTATCTGAGCAATTCTTCTGTTTTTATACGTGGTTATTCAGTGAAATGTCTTCTTTTCAACGGTGTATTCGGATTTTATTTTCGTTTATTTTTGGCAAAGTAATGGACAATGGTTATTTTTTCCCAGAAAATCGTCGATGACGGCGACCACGACAATTGTATATAATATACATAATTATATAGTATATATTATATTTATTATTCTTATAATAAACGGTTGTATCGAAATAGACATTCCAGGTGACTATTGTGACTTGGAACTCCGACGTGAAATGAAACGATATGGTTTGTGTGTAAACATAATATTATTATCAAGATGTCTATGAGGGTATTTAATGTAATTAAATTCTACATTTCTACCTCCATTAAAAATATTATGTTATCTTCAACCATACGATTGGTGTTATCATTAATTCCAAAAAAAATAGACAATAATTTCTCACGATAACAGCGTTTCATATATTTTGTATCTAATATGCTTTAAATATATGCTTTCAAAAGTGCTTTAGATCTTCGTGATACAACTCGAGTTTATGCCGTTTATGGGTTTGTATATTTTTTATACATTAAAGGGTGGTTCAGAAGAACAATATTATAATAACAAGTATACACAATTTTTTCTCTAAGCTTTAGTTTTATTTTTCAAAAAAAAATAGTAACACCATTAAATCGCATAAAATACAGTATAGTTTCAGTGATTTTTTGGAATTTTTTTTTCTAAATGTGTTTTTGCATGCTTAATTTGATGGTACTTTAAAAAAAAATCGCTCTTACTTCATTTGGAAGTTATGGTCAAAAAACATCAAATGCTTAATTATTTTTTAGGTTCTGAGTGGAACGATGAATGAGTCGATTTTACAATGATGTGTTATTTTTTTAATTTTTAATTTTTTTTGTGTCTGTGCACACGATAAGTAGTCCAAATAATGCTTCGATTTTCAGTTTCAGTATTTTCTTCGATTGGAAAGTGAATATCGTTGGTGCATTGGTTAGGTAAAAATTTAAAATTCCCAGTAATTTTCAAAAGTGCCAAGAAAAACAAAAGAAAAATTAAGGAAAAACTGGAATTTTTACGATTTTCACAAAATCGAATTTGGTTGTTTATATTTGCAATTTCTATACACGATAAAGTTTTCAAAATATTTTAATTTATTTTGAACTGTTTATTGATATTTTCAGTTTCCAATTTTATTAGTTTTTTTTTTATGAATATCAATAAAATGTTATTTGTTGAGTAAAAATACTTGAAAATTTAATAGAATTCTCCTAGTATATTGTTTCAAAGGCAGATGAAAAATATTAAAAATTCTTTGTCACAGTTTTTGTTTATAAGCATTTAAACATTGAATTTTGGCAAAATTTATCAAATTTAAAATTGAATAATTATTTTGTAGTTAAAAATTTATAAAATGTTCAACTTTTATATCTCAGGATTGAAAATTTAAAACAAAACAAGATTCCATGTAAAGTAGTTAATTCTGTTACCAAAAAACCTAAAAAATACACAAGCACAGTTTATTTTTATAGAATTCAAATTTGGACAAAATTACATATTAAAATCAATAATAACGATCTTTGTTTTTGTTGTAATTTAAAAATATTATTTGGGGATATATGAAACTGAAAAATCAAAATATTATGGCGTATCCATACAATCTACCATAGTATAAGGAATAAGTATAGGCGTATAAGGGTTATTATATAAAGTTAAAACTTCAATTAGCTAAAACTTAAAAACTAAGTCCGAGCCCCAAATTCTGATTTGACCTACATTTTTTTTGTCAATAAATTGACTAAGTCCAAAAAAAAGGGTGTCCTTTAATGTATAAGAGCTCTGTACATTACAATGAAGAGGTACACTAACATTAGACAACTATTGTAGCAAAGCATTACCTAACTACTTGCTTTATTTTTGTTTGAATCGAGTAAGTACTTATTGGACAAACAAAACGAACAATATTGACAAAACAAGGAATAATATTATAATAATCATAGTTATTGGTCAAGTTCTCCCCAACACAAAACTTTAATAAAGAAAATTTCCATTCTAGTTTGTTTAATTATAATGGCATAGGTAACTTAAAAGTTATAACTAACGAGTAGGTATACTAGTAGAAGATAGAACTACATAATAGTAATTAGTAACACCTATTAACACTATAGGCAGCTTAGTTTAAACATTTTGTTTAGTGTATTAACAACTGTAAAATGCATAAGTGAACTAAGAAATTATAAATTAGGTACTAATTTAAATAAATAACTAAGTAAAAATAGCATACATTTTAGTTAGATTTTCTTAATAAAAAATATCTATACCAGAGAATTTATTTATTTATTATAATATGTCAGTCTATGTAGGCACTTCCGTATCCTGTAATACTGATACACCTTGAATTTCAATTCAATCAAAAGTTATGAATGTACTATGATTCTATTTTATTTTATTAAGAGGACGTCGCACCCGCATGTGTTGTCTCCATCTTACAAATGTACAACATAGCAAAAACTGTTTTGCGGGGGACAACTTTTATCTTGCTGTGTTTGTAGTAGTAGCTCCAAAATGTCTAAACAAATAGGGTAGAAAATTATCTATGCAACAGTGCGCCTATATTTTAGATAACATAAATACAATAAAAGTTATTTGCTTCTAAACATTTTGTTTTTTTTTTCTATTGCGTTCAAAAAATGATTTCATAGTGCTATTAAAAAATACGCATGCTGTTGCACAGATAAAATTCTTCTATACGTGTTGTGAAAATTTGGTAGTTCTACAACAAATATGAAATATGGTGAGAGGAATGTCCCGCGCAAAACCGTTCTTGCTATGTTGTACATTTGTAAGACGGTGACAACACATGCGTGTGTGACATCCACTTAAGTTTGGAGAAAATAAGTGGATATTTTGTAAGGAAAGTGGTGACTTATACAAATATTATATTGTAAATATTACAGAATTTACCCATGTATTCATGCTTGTAATTATTTTTAAATAAATTATACTTTTTAAATTATGATACGTTATTATAAAAACTGGTTTGATTTTGTTAAAAACAATGCATTGTATATTAATATTTGTTTTAATATAGATTAAGCAAATTGTTCTATACATAGTAGGTACATTTAAACACAACATTTGTATGTAATTTTTTTTTTAATAAAAAACAAATCAATTATATAACTAATACTAAAGAATAAAACATATCATAAATAAAATAGGTTTTCATACTGATGATTATAATCAATAATTGTGAAGAATCTTTGAATTACTCCATATCACCAAATCATATCGTTAAGAACTTAAATAATATAGTAAATTACTAAATAATAAGAGGTAATAATTGATCAAAAATAAATACAAAATAATGATGTTTGTCTTTTTTAAATATCCCTGTAAATATGTTGTGCTTCAAGCGAATTACAGAATTTATCCATAGCACCATATTAAACCAAAACTATAACAGTTACGTAAATATAATATTGTATACAAAAATACTGAAAGAACAAAAAACAAAGCTACACTGATACTTTTGGGTGAATATTGAATAATTTAAAAATAGAAAAAAGTTTTATTGTTTTATAATTGACAAATCATAAAAATATAAAAATAATAAATTAAGATCGATTCCTAGTAAATCTTAAAATATTACATGACGTACAACTTGTGTAACTGAAAAATTATATAAATATCCTAGGGTAATATGATTGATATCAAGATAATGATACTAAGAAAACAAAATTAAGTTTAACTACAAATATGTAATTTCATGGTTAAACTGATAAAAATTAATTAAATTTTTCAAATAATAAGAACTAAGAAGCATGTTTTGATTATAAATAAGCAATTATTGCTAATATACTAATATTTGTAAGTTAAATATTTTCTAGTTAGGTAGAATTTTTGTTATATTAATAAGTATTTTAAATAATTCCTAACAAATATTATGCTCAATTCATACCTTTTGTCATTTTGTTTAATATACTAAAAATTTCAATAATTTCAATATTCACCCATTCCATTAATAATCACTTAAAATAAAAATAAAGTATAATAGTGGCTGTAAATTAAGTATTTATTCTTATTGATTTTTGAAGTAAAAACGAGATGGAACAATAAAGTAGGAACGTTGAAAAAAAAAATTTAATCATCAATCAGCATATGAATAGCTTCATTTGGACTGGCGTATTCAGTTGAGCCGCTAATAAAACCTGAAAAATATAATAAAATTCAAAACTGTTAAATTAAAATAGCTGATAAGAGTAATAATTTGGTTTATTTTTTTTGTGTGGACTTGGAAAATCTATAATTTTAGAAAATCAAAGGATAATGTCATTTTCGCCATTGTAAGAATTATAATTGAAAAATTAACAAAATAAGTAAATGTGATCAAAACATCTATATTTTATAATATGATGATTCCCTATAAAATATATTAATTAAATTGGTGAAGAAATGTGAATTTAATTATACCTTCACAGGTTTCACCACTTTTAAATTTAAATAATAATAGGATATGTATAATTTGTGTTAATTAAAAGATAACAGCTTGAAAAAATAAAACAAAATACTTTTAAAAATGTTAAAAGAATCTTACTAGATTATAGAGACTGTTTATGTTATAAAATTATAATATTTGCTATGATGGTATAAATATACAAACATTAAATTCATTTTCTTTGTATAAAATTAAACATTCTTTATTTTTTAATATATAAAATAAATAAATGAAAAATAAGACATAAATAATGAAAAGAATGAAAATAAAAATATTTTAAGTATTGATTATTTTATGACCTATGGGAAGTGAGGTTTATGTATACAATATAAAAGCACACATATAAGATGCGTTATTTATGCTAAACTTCTGTTAATTCAAAATATTATTCCTAATTTATATAATTTTTTTAATTGGAAATAGAACAAAACATGATAACTAAACTATATCTATTTTAAGTTCAAAAATAATTTTTTCTAGTTCATCAATACTACTGTAGAAGTTTATCAAAACTGCAATTAACTATGTACAAAAAATCTTTAACACAGAAACAAATTCAAATAATTAAGTGCATACTATGAATATTTGATAAAACTTTAATATTAAGAGTGTTGGGTAGTAACGTAACAAAAGTAACGTGTTGCATTAATTGTAATATTTTGTCATGGGATTTTGTTAGACATATTTCCAAATAATAAAAATGTATTGGAAATATTATTTTTCATAAATAATTACTAAAATTTAAGTTATGAAAAATAATAATTTTCCAAATAAATAGGTACAATGGATGAATATTATTTTAAACTTTAACTTGTCACAGTTTAGTTTTTAATATTTTGGACAACACATTTACAGAAACTATAGGTACTTTACATAATTAACTTTTAAAAATAATTTTCATTTTGACAATATCTTATTCAAACTATATGTAAACACTATTTGTACTTAGAATAATTGTCCAAATGATAAGAAATTAGAAAATTACCTGTGTACTGTTTTTTTTTTTTTGTAATGAAAAAAACAAATCTACTTTTCCTATTCAAAAGTAAAGTAATTTCATTAAATTATTATTTGAATGATAAGAAAATGAGTTAATTACTTTTTAAAAGGAACCCAACACTCAATATTTGACATCCATAGCATTCAATATTACAATAAAATCAACAACAATAATTTATTTAAAACAATGTATTATACATAGCTTTAAATAATATAAAAACACAACTCAAAACATAAATGCAACTTAACTAAATAAACCTGTTTATTTACAGCTACCTGTTTCTTTAAAATGGGACATGTTGTTTTGTACTTCTTCAAAACTGTAACCTAATAATATGATAGATGTAAATATTTGGACACATTTTAATAACATATCACTAGAGCGCGGATTTCTATGTAATTGCATACATTTTTCCTTTTCATATTTTTGGATTTTTGTCAGTTATCTCCACGAGTCATCATAATTTGAAACTTATGGTGAAATTTATTTTTGCATATTTAAATGTTATTGCATATTTTGGCAAAATTCAAAATTTATTGCATATTGAAGCGAACATTTAAAAAAATGCATAAAATAATATTTTGTCAAGTAGAAAAATTAAAACTAAATTTTATAGGCACTTAATAATAATTTATATTAAGATAAAATAAATAATCGACTACGACGTAAACTTAATCGCTCTTGCTGTGTCAGTCAAATACCTAGGGTTATATATTGATGCTAATTTAAAAAGGGATGTACACATAAATTAAATTAATAATAACATATTATGTTAAGAAAATTTTTCTACATATATAAATCTCTTAGATCTATTTTAAACGTCAAATTAAAAAATTGACATACCTTGCACTAATTCAATCTATTATTTCTTATGGGATTTCATTTTGGGGAGGAACATATCATATTCACTTTCAGGACCTTGAAATCACTTTAAACTCATTACTCAATTTTATTTTCAATAAACTTGCACTATTTTCTACAGTTAATTTATATAAAGAGTTAGAGACATTAAATTTAAAACCATTTGCCTATTGTTTTACAGTTTTAAGACTTGCATTGATGTTCCGTGTGACAATTATAAAACGCACTTTAAGGTTAATACAAATGTTATTGTCCCTAAAATGAATACAGTATTTGGGAAACAGAGCTCTGAATAAAGTTCATAACATTTTGTATTAAATATAATTTTAATATTCATGAATTTAACAGCTTTAAAATGTATAAAAAATATATAAATAATGCTTTGTTGCAATAATGCCTTTTGTAACGTATTGTATACTGCATATATTAAGTTTTCTTATTGATTATCTACTTCTTAATGTAATTATTTTCTTTTTCTCTTTTTAATACTAAAAGTATAACTTTCATATTACCATTGTTATTGTATAAAATTAAAAGCTACTATATGTCTATAATACTCTAGTTCATTTCAATAACGAATGGCTAAGGCACCGAATGGGTCTACCTAATCTGTGCTTGAGCTATTAATATGTTTAATATATTAGTTGTTATTATCCTTATCTATATTGTTATATTGTTATTATTAATTCTCTTTTTTGTTTTATTTTTCATTTTCTTAATTACTTAAGACTATGTACAGCTTACTCTCTCTTTTCTGCACAAGCTTTGCTTTTGAAAAGAGAACGAAAGATTACTTAATTTATACTTATAAAATGTTTTAGATTCTTAGTGAAACGATGAATGTATTGATTTTACAATGATGTGTGTTTTTATATTTTTTTATTTTTTTATTTTTATTGTGTCTGTGTACACGATAAGTAGTCGAATTAATGCTTCGATTTTCGACTTCAGTATCTTGTTCGATTGGAAAGTGAATATCGTTGGTGCATTGGGGAGGTCAAAATTTAAAACTCCCAGTACTTTTCAAAAGCGCTAAGAAAAACAAAAGAAAAATTAAGGAAAAACGGGAATTTTTACGCAAAATCGATTTTTCAGAAAATTGAATTTGGTTTTTGGTGTAACTTTAAAACAAATGACCGTAGATACATGAAATTTTCACTGGTTGTTTATATTTGCATTTTCTATACACGATAACATTTTCAAAATATTTTGATTTATTTTGAACTGTTTAGGGACATTTTCATTTTTCATTTTTTTTTAGTTTTTTTTCTAGAAATATCAATAAAATTTTATTTGTTGGTTAAAAAAACTTGAAAATTTAATAGAAGGCTCCTAGTATATTGTTTCAAAGGCAGATGAAAAATGTTAAAAATCGTTAGTCACAGTTTTTTTTTATAAGAATTTAAAGTTCAAAAATTGACAAAATATGGAAAAATCACGAAAATTAGCAAATTATTTTGAGTTAAGAATTCGTAAAAATTTTTCTTTTTAAATCTAAGATTTGAAAATGTAATACAAGATTACTCATAAGTTTGACTACCTTTATCAATAAAAAAATCTCTACCGGACAGTCAAATTAAATTTTTATGAGCGTTTGAAATTCAAATTTTACTCGAATTCTCATGTAGCGATTTCCTTATTTTGTTGTTATTCATAAACGAATAACTATAGATACATGAAAATTTCACTGAATGTTTATATTAGCATTTCCTATACACCATACAATTTTGAAAATATTTTGACTCTTTTTGAGCTGTTTACGGATATTTTCATTTTTCAATTTTTTTAGTTTTTTTTTCTATGAATATCAATAAAGTTTTATCTGTTGGGCAAAAAAGTGTAAAAATTTAATACAAGGCTCCTGATATATTGTTACAATATTAGTTGAAAAATATTAAAAATACATAGGCACAGTTTTTTTTTATAAGCATTTAAACATCAAATTTTGACAGAATTTTTCAAAATCTCGAAAATTATTAATCATCGTAATTAATAAATTATAAAATGTTCAGTTTTTATAGCTAAGGATTGAAAATTTAAAACAAGATTCCACGTAAGTAGTTAATTCTCTTACCAAAAAATCTAAAAAATATACAATCACAGTTTATTTTTATAGTCATTTTATGTTCAAATTTGGACGAAATTACATATTAAAAAACCTAGTTATTTTGTTGTGATTATATAATATTATTCGTGGGTACCTACTTGAAACTTCTAAAGTGTACTATTATATATATATGATAGTATCAGGGTTTGTTGTTGATGTTGATGTATAACGTGTTATAAGTACCTAATGGATATTGTGATAATGTGATATGATTAATTTGGAATTTATTATAGGTCAATTTTTTTTTTAATACTATAGATAAGTATATTATTTGTATTAAACCTAGACTGACATACCGTCTTCCCTCAGAATCGTTTTTCTTATACAATGATATTGTATCATTGAATTCAAATTTAATAGCATCCATTATACAGTGACCCACTTGTAACCTACTGTACAGCAGAGCGACATCCACTTACCCACCTTTTTTTCTATGAATATCAATAAAGTTTTATCTGTTGGGCCAAAAGTGTAAAAATTTAATACAAGGCTCCTGGTATATTGTTACAATATCAGTTGAAAAATATTAAAAATACATAGACACAATTTTTTTTTATAAGCATTTAATCATCGAATTTTGACAGAATTTTTCAAAATCTCGAAAATTATTAATCATCGTAATTAATAAATTATAAAATGTTCAGTTTTTATAGCTAAGGATTGAAAATTTAAAACAAGATTCCACGTAAGTAGTTAATTCTCTTACCGAAAAATCTAAAAAATATACAATCACAGTTTATTTTTATAGTCATTTTATGTTCAAATTTGGACGAAATTACATATTAAAAAACCTAGTTATTTTGTTGTTATTATATAATATTATTCGTGGGTACCTACTTGAAACTTCTAAAGTGTACTATTATATATATATGATAGTATCGGGGTTAATTAATGATGTCGGTGTATAACGTGTTATAAGTACCTAATGGATATTGTGATAATGTGATATGATTAATTTGGAATTTATTATAGGTCAATTTTGTTTTAATACCATAGATATGTATATAATTTGTCTTAAACCTAGACTGACATACCGTCTTCGCTCAGAATCGTTTTTCTTATACAATGATATTGTATCATTGAATTCAAATTTAATAGCATCCATTATACAGTGACCCACTTGTAACCTACTGTACAGCAGAGCGACATCCACTTACCCACCTTTTTTACATTTAATTTTAATTTGGTAACAACAAACATTATTATTATTATACTAAAAAGTCTTAGACATAAAAAAACTGGAAACTCAAAATATAAATTTACATCAACTTTACATACTTTTTTGCATATTTTCATGATTTTTATTTTTTACTGCATATTATATGGCATATTTCAATACTTTTTAGTGTATAAAAATCCGAGCTCTACTAATCACAAATAACGTTTATAGATCTAAGCAATATTTAAAACATTTTAAATAATTTTAAAACGTACTATTAAATGATAAATATAAATATAACGTGTTAACTAAAGGTAATACTAAATATTTTTAAGAAAATAAATATGAATTTGGTTTTTAGTAGACCATAATATTATAAATAATAGTGATACAAATTTTTGGAAAATTTCAAATTTTGTACCTTACAATGTGCACATGAAAGCTTACTTGTTTTCAAATAACCTTTAGATTATAAATTTAGCTTTTTAATTATATAAATTTTCATTAAAAATAACAGTTATTATATGTACTAATGATACAAAAATATTCACGAATAGGTAATTGCACTAATTCATTAGTTTAAATAAATATATTGTTGGCAATAATGTAACTTTTAGTTCAATATATTAAATTGCAGTTAGAAATATTATGTATTTACTTTAAATAAAATGTGAATTTATTGAGAAATTGTGTTTTTTATGTTTTTAGTACAAGAGAATAATTTTCAAAAAATAATAAATACACAATATATCACACAATAATTACAATGTCTGGAAAAATCACATTGTATGATTTTAACTTTAGCTAGCTCTCATTCAGTAAGTATCATAGGAACTTGAAATTTTAAATATATAACAATATTAATCTTTACAAAAGTATGTAATCTAAAATTGGTATTTCTAGTATAAAAATTTGTTTAAAAATTCATTTAGTTCTAAATATTTGAATATTTTCCATTATTATAATTTCCCTCATATAAAAAAAAAATTATGAATCAAATTAAAGGTAATTTCATAGCAATATGTAGGTAGTTTATCTTTTAACTTGCAATAAATTGTTCATACCTGCCTATTAGTAGTACTTATTCTTAATCTCGACTACTGACAGGATTAGGTAAGTACACTATTAGCTTATTAAATTAAGATTTACTTACTTGGTAGGCCTAATTTTCTATTTGCTTTCAGAACTTTTTGACATAACAAATGAATTGCACACATTAATGCAGCACCATATGCAAATAATCTGAACGTTTGAGCTCCACCATATTTGTCGTATAAGCAGCCACCTATTAGACTACCCAAAGACACACCTATGATAGAAATTGCACATTATTAATTATTCGATATTTATAGTTTTAACAAAAGATTAAAATAGTTACCTATGCCTTCAAAAACTCCACCAACAAGTCCTATCATAGTACTTTCGCTACCGGGTAGAGCAAGTATACTAGCATAAGACATGAGCACAGCATATGCCAATCCAAAAGTAATTCCATTAGTTAACTCAATAACGAGTACCCAAATTGGATTTGTAAGAACTGAATAAGCAAAAAATCTAAATGCAAAAACTCCCAAAACAAGAGACATGCAGTTCAAGTGTCCCAAACGTTTCATAATCCAGCCTGACCAGAAAAAGAATGGAACTTCACCTCCAAAACATTGAACTCCTGATACTAAGCCTTGCAGTGTTTTAATCCAACGTTGAGTATTACACTCATTTATGGAAGCTACATCTTCAATGTACCTAAAATAAGTGAAAGTACAACATTAAACTATAAAATATTATGTACATTTAGACTAATTTATAATTAAATGATAATCATAGATATTTTATTCCCAAATTTCCAAACATTGAATGTGATATTTTCTGTTTCACGAATTAGGTAGGCTAAAATGGGGTTTTAAAAAACCCTATTCTATGGGTTCTAAAAATTTTTTGTAATGGAAATGCTAAACTCAGTGATACCACAGAACTTTACAAAATTTCAATTAATCGAAGATTTGATAGAATTTGCGAAACAGTTAAAAGAATTAGATAAGTTACATAAAAATTATACCAGAACCTTCTTTTATTATTCATATAAACTTTCATCTAGCCATAGTGTACAGTACATTGACTGTAAGCCTTACAATTATAAGTATTTTAGCATTTAAGTATATAAAAAAAATAAATGTTAAGTTGTACAACCAGGATTTAGCCGAGATAGAACTTAAGGAAAATCAAAATGATTAAAATAAATTTTTATTCAAGTATATATTATATATTTTTTTTTATTATTATTTTATTTAAATTCAAAATTTAATATTGTATAAGAAACCTGTGGACCATTAAGCCCCTATATTACATTTAAGTTAGGGGGTGTTAAGAACCACTGTTTTAGTTAGTTTATACGTATATGTTTAATATTGTTATATGTATATGTGTGAGCCGCCGTCGGTCTCAAGGAATGTGCTGATGAAGCCATTGAAACCCGACGACCGGCCCGGACGCCTCGCGCACGGAACGCGAGTGAGGCAGTCCAGAATTGGAGACAGAGCATTACGTTTGTACCGAACCTTCAGAGCCTTTTTTCATTAATTTAGTTGTACGTTTTACTCTAAATACCAAATACAGAAAGTAACCGGTCTAAAAGTGTTTGTTATTTTATTTGTGAGGACATCTTAGGATAGTCCATAACAATGTTATGAATTAGATAATAATAAAATATAAATGCTATACAATTATGTTAACTATTACAGTATTACCTATTCACCTATGTATTTATATATAATATGTTATTGTACATTGATGCTATACAATTAATTATTGTTGCAATTAATTACTTACCAAAAAAGATATTGCCAAATCATTCCAGTGCAAATTCCAACTACTATTGCCCAAGTAAGAAATCCTAGTACCTTGACTTCCACTAACAGTTTTCCAAAATCTTTACGTATATTAGTTGATATTTTTGTTTCCGTCACCTTTTATATTAAGTTTTTCATAAATATAATATATTAAATATCAATTTTTATGGTTTTAAAATTTGATTGAAAAAATAATTACCTTAAGTTTTGATGCAACAAAAAAGTTGGCAAGTAGTACCAGTAAACATAAATAGTATATTGGTAAATAGTTTTTATTTACTTCACTGGAACTAAAAACATCTAAGAGCCATCCAGCAAATATTGAAAAAATTCCCCATCCAATAGCACCCCAGCATCTTTGTTTGCCATATAGATTAGGTTTGTTACCTATTATTAAATAAATACATATCAATTTAAAGTTATAGATATTATATAAAATGTATTAATTAAAACCTTACCTAATTGATCAAAGCAAATAGAATCACCAAGACTATAAATAATCGCTTGACAAACCCAAAACAGACTAACTAACAAAAAAAATATCCAGAAATGACTTAATCCCAAGACACTTCCTTTATACTTTTGGGGGGTTATTAAATCCATTATGACTTCAGAGTTACATTGTACTTGGCATTGTGATCTCAAGCTACTATTACAAACTGGTGTGTGATTAACTACTTCAGAATAATTAAAATAGAAACTTGCATATGATATTCGGAAGTAAAAACAATTATCAACCTATAATTTATAAAATTATTGAGCATTATTAAACTTTCTGGATCTAAATATATGTTCATCAGAACCGAGATTAGAACACACAATTGTATACTTACATTAACAGAATGGTTCATTTCTAACGTTGCAGATAAGTAAACATAATCATCATTATAATAATTTTTATTTGATCTTGGTCTAATTATTTGTGAAGTGTTTGGTTCATAATATTCGATAGCATTAACAATAGACGAATTTGATAATTGGCAATAGTCTTTAAATCCCCAATTTGAACACATTTCATTACGAAAATGAACGCTGTTCTCACATTTTAACTATAATCAAATAGAAAATCAATGCAACATTCAACAAACAAGTAAATAATAAAAAAAAATCTAAATATGAACATTAATATTTACATCGCAACCAAATTTACCGCCATTAACATCTTTAACTCGTTTAGAGGAACACTTCGACAAAGGTACATTATCCTCGGGACAAACATTTAAATATGTGGCGGAATGGCAATTCAGTTCTACTGAAGAGTCCAAAGGTATTGAAGGTACAAACATCAGTGAAAATGCTGTTAGGCCGGATAATAATATGAAAGTTAAGAATATTAATTTCTTAACCCGGAAATGGTCCACAATTGCACCAACGATGGGTTTTATTATTAAACTTAAAATTGGTAAAATACTATAGATTGTACCAACTACAATCGTAGAATATCCCAATTGTTTCGCAATTGTTGGCAAAAAAGATGTCATTGGAGCAACACCTGTAAAAAAATTAAAAAAAAACTATAAGTAGGTACTGAAATACAAATTTAAGACAGTTAATTTGGCAAAAAGATTTAACAGGTTAAAGGAAATCAAATGCAGTTTAGTACAAATGCTCATTTCACCCATTTTTTTTTCAAAATGTGTTTAAAGGTATTGAATTTAAAAATGTATGAATCATTCTAAATGTTTTTCATATTGGAAGTTTAATTACTGGAAGTAATAAAATAAAATAGAAATTTTTTTTTTTTAATTTAATAAGAGTATGATGGTAAAATTTTCATTATTCCATCATATTTAGCGTAAAAAAAACATAGTCACAATATTCATTTATGTTTTCAAACACATTCAGACATCAGATTCATTGCATTAAAACAAACATTTGGAAAAATTATAATAATTAAAAAATGAGCTAGGTACTGAACTGTATTTATGCCATATAAATTATATGTAGTGTACCTACATGGTGTATATCTAATGTATATAATAAAATATTAAATTATAGTATTAAACATCACAGTCCAGTGTTTGGAAAGAATGTTGTTCATGTTCATATTTAGTGAATGATACATGAACATCACTTGTTTTTTTTCATATAGAACATGAATGTGAATGAAGTTTATATATTTAATGAATTTGAAAGATTTTTAAGACGTTCAAATTTATTTATTACTTAATAAATATCGATTGATAATACTATTATGATATATAATATATTACGAATTATAAAAATAAAATATATTAAATTCCAGTGGGCTCGCCTGAACTTTAAACAACAATAATATTATGATTTCCACGATTTTGTATTCGTATTTAAACGATAAATAAAATAAATAAAAAATGCATTCATATTTTCAAGGAACGTGAACATGTTAATTTGAAAAAATATAAAATTGAACGTGAACGTTCTGAACACTGCATCACACAGATAAATATACTAATATTATTAGTACATTATAGGATAAACTGTTTAGTAATTATCAATTAGTAATTACTAATTATTACAATATTAATCCGTGACAGTTACATATAATTTAAAATAAATATTTTCTTAGATATTAAATATTCATATTACTACACCTATGTCCTATACCAGGGGTCTCCAAACTTTTTTATTCAAGGGCCACAAAAAAAATCAAATGCTCTTAGCGGGCCAAAAGTTTATTAACACATATAATTTTTAATTTTATGATAATGTAGGTACCTACCTACCTATATAAATAATATGTTTACTTTATATTTTTGTATAAAATATTGTTTACTTTACAATATACTTAAATAAAAATAAATAGGTATAAATATAATATAATATAAATACATTTTTGAAATAATTTTTTTTATCTATATTTACATATGCGGGCCACGGGCCGGTTAAAACTTGTTGGAGGGCCGTATCCGGCCCGCGGGCCGTAGTTTGGAGACCCCTGTCCTATACTATATAAATTCTATATATAATTATTACGATTAATATAATATATTATATTAGTTTTTTTTATACCCAATAACAAGGGCTGGAAGTGGTTAAAGCTATTTCAAAAAGTGACTAAGTGACTGAGTTTATTCATGAAAGTGACAAAAAAGTGACCTGCATACATTTGTTTCATAATAACTTACCAGTTATTAAACATTTGTCTTTGAATCTCTACATACCTATGATTTCATTAATTCTAACTTACTTACATAAATAAAAAAATAATGATTATAATGAACACAAATTTTAATAGCAAATAATTAAATCATACTACCCATTTCAATTAATAATGTTTATAATATAGAATAATATTCAAGATCATTATTTAGGAACTTCCTTTATTTTAATAATAACTACAAAACACGCCTATGGTTTGTTATAATAGGAATTCATCCCGGATGGTTTTTCAAATATAGTAGACTAATAAATATACGAAATTACTATAGATACTTATAATTTGAAGTTTGATTAGGAAAATTACATAAAAACAAAGTTTTTGGTATAACAATATGCTATATGTACCTATACCTGCCTATAAACAGGCCTTTTTAACAGCCGTAAGTCATAACACAAGAAAGATATGTACTTAATTATAATATTACATTTTTATTATTTTATAGCATTCTTATTATAATTATATATAGGACATAGGTAGTAGGTACTATAATTATATTTATTATTGATTATTGTATAACATTTTATTATTTTGGACTTGTATTAAATTAAATTTTATTATATTTTAATATGTGATTTAAGTAAGTAATTAACATTTTTTATGATATTATATAATTTTGTATGTAACTTTAATGTATTTTTCAATACAATTTTAATATATATATACTTCATCAGAATTTGTCGCATGAGTTTAGTTTCGAAGTCATAACTTATAGCTAATCGAAGTTTTCGGTTAATATTATTATATAAGATAACCATTATAACCCATAAATACGCAATATGCTGTATTTTTCATCGACTGAACTGTTGCGAAAAAAGCGATGTTTGAGTTGCCATTCGCTCGCTGCATTGCGCTCGGAAAAAAAAAAAGTCGAAAATATCCCCCGATTTGTTGTGTAAACCCACTCTGGGTAGGCCACGAAATTAAGAAATGTTGTTAAAAAGCAATTATCTTCGGGTAGATGACAGGCTAATCCGCTGATGGTTATAAAATATAAACTATATAAACATATACTATAGAGAAAAAAAATTAAAATTTGTTATAGGCGCCGCGCACCTGCGCGTGGCAGACGAGTAGCGTTGCGCGAGAACACATAAACGTAAAATCGCAAGACTTGGAAGGCTATACCTTCCAAAACAATAGTTTTCGGTAAAAAAAATTCGTCAAAAACAAGTAGGTAGTTTGAAAAAAAAGTTGAAAATCGTGAGGGGGTTGGTAAAGTGCATTTTAGCCCGATGTACATATCATGCTGTATTGTGGAAAATAAACATTCACACTTTTTATTGTACACTTCAGTAGGTTTCACCATTTGAGTACAGCAGAGCGACATCCGCTTACCCACCTCTTATAAATTAATTTTATAATTCTCAATATAATACAAGCCACAGACAATGACGTATTATCTATGATACAAACGTATAAAGCCGGGGCTATACACGGCGACGGCGTTTTCCGCTTTAAACGCTTTGGTTTATATCGGAGCAGCTATACACGACGGGCGTAATACGCCGCGGAGGAAAACGCAAGCCGGCGCCGTGCAGTAGTGATAACACGATCGTCCGAGCTACCGCGATTGCCTCGTATTTTTATTTTCCTATCAAAATAATGTTATCAATTTATTGAACAAATACGATTCCGCAGCCTGCAGCTGATATCGCACACGCAAACGATCGAGAACGATATCTCAGTTATCACCACGGACTAAGATATACAGGACTGGACACGAGATGAATATTGTGGTTACGAAATGTTTTACAACAGGCGGAGTTCGGGGGGATATTTTCCTTTTAGCATTACTAGCGCCGTCTTAGTGGATACTTATGGAACTAGATCACATTATTGTCATCTAGTTCCAAAAGTATCCACTAAGACGGCGCTAGTAATGCTAAAAGGAAAATATCCCCCCGAACACTGCCTGTTGTAAAACATTTCGTAGTCAACCCCCCCACACCCTCCAACCTTGTCGTGTCCAGTCCTGTATATCTTAGTCCGTGGTTATCACGGAACAATTATCATACCGCGAGATAAGATAGTATTATCAACGGCCGACGGGCCGTGCCGTGAGCAGCAGCTGCGCGGCTGCATACCACATGGACGAGCCAGGATAATAAAATACGACAATTTATTATTTAAGGTTATCATAACAACTATTTGATTCGTATTTCTCAACCAAAACAATAACGTCTTACATGTAAAATACTTTAATATTGTTATTATACAGTATACTCCAAGTATTAGTTGTATCTTGTGTACTGAAGAAACTGCGAAACAATGCCTAAGTCAAAGAGAGATAAAAAAAGTAAGTTATTCTGTTGTAATAAGCGAAAATGTTTTTGAGAGGACTCGGACATTTGTTGTCGTAGGTCTTACAAGTGCGTAACATAGACAATTTTACTCTCAGCAGATCACGTTTAGCTCTGTCAGTTGAACAACTATAATGAATTGGACCTCTTATAAAAATTAAATGTAAGACTATTATCCAGGGCGTCTCATTATATGTTAATTTTAAAACGAGTTACGAGGGTCTTACAATTGTAAATTATACATATTAAAGTACTCATAACTCGCTTTACAATTGAAATATAATGAAAAGCCTATGAAACGCCCTGGATAATAATCTTACCTTTAAATTTTATAAGACGTCAATTCACTATAATGTTTAAACTAACGCAGCTAAACGTGATCTGCTGAGCGTAAAATTTGCTATGTTACGCACTTGTAAGACGGAGACAACACATTTCTGTGTAGCGTCCATTAAAGGTTCATAGAAAAATTTAACTATTCCAAATCATAATTTACACGCCTATTATAATTTGTATTTAATAAAATAATTACAATACTAGGTACTTTCCTGTTATACTAGACTACCCTGTTTTTTGAGAACATCACAATCCTGTTATCTAAGACTACCAAAATTATACTTTCCTGTTATACGAGACTACGGCTATTATCGCGACTTCCACCAAAGACTACCTCCGTTATGGCGACTACCTATCTTATTTAGCTGACATTATAGTCGAACGATATCCATAAGCTGCGATTATATTTATTATATTTGTGGATTTATCATTTTGTATTATTATTATTATTTTATTATTTTATTGTTTTCCGTATGCCGCAAAAAATTTGGTACATTACAAATAATTATTATGTATTACATTTTTTTTTATATAATTTGAATGTGGCCATCCCCACAGTACGTACCTAAATTATTTATTATTTTATTTGTGGATTTACCATTTTGTATTATTATTATTAATTTATTGTTTTCCATACATCGCGCCAAATTTGGCACTTTGACGTGTAACATGTAAAATACATTAGGTACGAATAATTACTATGTATTTAAATGTTTTCTTTATTTCATTCTGGCCATCCCCAAAGTACATATTATTAAAAAATCTATCAAAGAAGGCAAGAAAAATAAAGGTGGTCACGTATAACAGGAAGTACCATTTTGGTAGTCTTAGATAACAGGATTGTGATGTTTCACAAAATAAGTGCGGTAGTCTCGACAACGGAGGTAGTCTTGGGTGGTAGTCGCGATAACAGCCGTAGTCTCGTATAACAGGAAAGTACCCAATACTAAATTAATATAGGTGTTAATGTTATTTCCAAATATGCTTTACCTAATATTCAAAATAAAATAGAATTCATAAATTGTACTAAGTGAATTTTAGAACAAATAATTAATTATTCTTTTATTAACACATTTTATGTAAAATAAATTCATTCTAGATTATCTTAGTTCAATACCTATATTTTACACTATATTTTAATCAAAATTATGTTATGGATTTAGTTTCTTATATTCAATTGAACAGTATAATAAATAGGTATTTATTCAAATGTCAAATATGTTGTGTTTTACCTTAGTTTCCTTAACCAAGACAACCAAATTGGGTTCTAAATTGAAACAATCTGTGATGGAAAATCTCCGTGAGGCTGTTAACAAATATGAACACATATTTGTATTTCATACTGATAACATGCGAAATGGTAAATTAAAAGATGTGCGAAATGAATGGAAAGACAGCAGGTAATCCCTATATACCTACCTAAATGATAATTAGATATTTTTTTTAATGTATAATTTTTTTTTATACACATGTCAGGTTCTTTTTTGGTAAAAATAAAGTGATGTCATACGCTCTGGGAAAATCAGCTCAAGATGAAATTCAAACTAATTTACATAAATTAGCTCTTCAAATTGAAGGACAGTGTGGATTATTATTTACAAACCGACCAGTTGATGATGTTATAGAGTAAGTATACCTATTTCATTTTATTATTTTTAATTATATCCACCTATTAGTTATTAGTATTTTATATTTTATACGTATCTAATGTTTAGGTGGTTTGAGAACTACTCAGAGCCAGAATTTCCCAGGGCGGGCATCAGAGCTGCATACACAGTAACATTAGATGAAGGCCCTCTACCAGACACATTTATACATTCAATGGAACCTTCATTAAGACAGCTTGGTTTACCGACAAGTTTACAGCGCGGTGTTATACAAGTTCTAAAAAGTCATACAATATGTAAAGAAGGAAGCGTTATCACACCCGAACAGTCTAGACTACTTGTAAATAATACCTCAGCATTTATAAAAATCATACTAGTTATTAACATATATTTTTTTTTTAGAAACTTTTTGGACATAAAATGGCAGAATTCAAAATAGTTTTAAGGTATGTTTGGTCCAAAGATGGACAATTTCGACCTTTGCTTGATGAGTAACAAATTGCAAACAGTAAAATCATAAACTAATTTCATTGATAAGATAATAAAAAAATGTTCTCTGATTATTATCAAATATACTCAGTTTTTTTTAAGCATTTAATTATAATTTTTGTTTTATTCTCCTAAGTTTGAATCTAATAGAAAACAAAATACCTATGTTATACAATTGTGCCACTTCTATGCAATTGTGTTTACAGTATATTTATTTATAAAAGATGGTCATGATAAAATATTTGACGCCTGTTGGTTATAAATTAAATCTCATTAATTTAACATTGAAATATAAATTGGAAAATAAAAATATATATAATATACTGAATGGAACATAAGAATTGTAGGATTGTCAATACTCAATATATGTAATATGATTAGTATGCACTCAGAATCTAAAATGATACATCCAAACTGTTGAATTTGGTTATTCTGCAAGCCAATGTTCAAATTTCAAGAAATAATAGAAAAACTACTCTTGTAAGGTAATAATTTTATTTTATGTGTATTAAGAGGACGTTATACCTACATGTGTGGTCTCCGTCTTACAAGTGCGTAACATAGCAAATTGTACGAACAGCAGCACACGTGTAGCTCCATTAGCTTAAAAATTAGAGTTATAAAATTTAAAGGTAAGATTATTATCTAGGCCTGCGTTTCTTAAGAGGACGCCACACCCACATGTGTTGTCTCCGTCTTACAAACTCGTAACATACCAAATTTACGCTCAGAAATTCAAGTTTTATGCTGTTAGCTTAAAATTTAGAGTGAATCGACCTATTATGAAACTTGGTGGTAAGAACATTATCTGAGTTTTGTTGAAAGTTTTTTTACAATAATTCAGTTTTTAAGTGAGATATGAGCACTTTTACATTTACTTTTATTATACCCGCTATAACTCACTAAAAAACTGAATTATCGTAAAAAAAACTTTGAACAAAACACAGATAGACAACACATGCGGGTGTGGCGTCCTCTAAAACTATGTTCCGCAGAGATCACTTCAGGGTTCCGCAAGACTTAAGTGCTTTTTTAAAAAAATTTAAATCAATTTCTGTGGTTAAATGTTGGTGCATTTCAAAAATGAATATTCTCAATTCTCACATTAGGCCGTGTTGGCAGTTTTACCATTTATATGTGCGAAACGGGGTTCACCAACTATGTATCAACAAAAACAAAATACCAAAACAGACTGGATGCCGAACGTAATGTGAGACTACAACTTTCATAAATAAAGCCCAATATTAAGAATATTTGTAATAATAAAAAGTAAATTCATTCATCACATTAAAATTAAAATTTATAAGTCCTGTCATTGTCTGTTATTTAAAATATTTTTTGAATTAAATACAAAATAGTGTGTACACATTATTATTAATTGAAATTTTTATAATTTTTATTGCAAATAATACTTACATAAAACGACACATTAAAACTATTGAAACAAAGTATCGGGGTTCTAATTGCTGAGCTGTAATAACTTACTGTTGAAAGCTAAATAAAAAAAAGCTAAAAAGCTAAAAAAAAAATGTAGGGGTTCCACGATAATAGTGGACATAAAAGAGGGTTAAAAGTTTAAGAAACGCTGATCTAGGCAACCTCATAGGCTTTTTGTTATATTTTAATTTTAAAGAGAGTTATGAGTATTTTAAAATTAAAATATAACAAAAGTCTTACCTTAAGATTTTATAAGAGATCAATTCACTCTAATTTTTAAACTAAAGGAGCTACACATGTTCTGCTGAGCGTAAAATTGACTATGTTACACACTTCTTGAACGGAGACAACACATGCGGATGTCAGGTCCTCTTAAGCATAAATTAGGTAATTAGGTACAATAACTAAACACTAATAGGCATTTTGAGAATATCTGATTTTTATAATGAAGGGTGTTCATAACAGTGTTTAGAGTTCAAATTACCCTATTTAATTGCGACATTGTTTTACTTTAAAAATTGTAGACATTTCAAATAAAAATTATAAAAAAAAGGGTTGGTAAAAATTTAAAATGGTTTCTTTTTAGATAATAATGTTCATAATTTAATACAATTTTTATATTATACGTGTTCTCTCTTTGGTTTTTTACAATATTTTAATTTTTGAGTTGGTTGTGAGTGTAAAATATTAATATTTTAAAATGCTCATAGGTAATTCACATAAAAATTAATAATTGTAAAACGCCAACAAGAGAACACATATAATGTTCTTACATTTAAGTTTGGTAATAGGTGAATTCACTCTAAGTACATTAAAGCAAATAGCACAAAATCGGAAATGCATTTTGATATATTATGCGTTAGTAAGATGGAGACAACACATGTTCAGGTGCATCATAGCATGTTAAAAACAATCAATATAACCTAACCTAACCATCAATATTTGAGTAAATAGTTTCTAGTGTACTGGCTGTTCCGTGTTTCTGCGCTTTATACAATTATATCAGTATTTTACACTAATTAAAATTTACAATAAATACTATGATAATGACGTAATTTTTTGAAGAAATTATTGGCTATCATCAAAACTAACTTAATTACACTCAGTGACACCGAGCTCTAAAAAAGTACTATTGTCAAATTTATTTTCAGAATGTACCACCCACCAAAAATATTTTTATCTAACTATGAATATACTATTATATTACTTTATGATACTATCTACGTTATATAAGCAGCCTTAAGGTAATAATAATGACCATTAGGGGCTATGCCTCCAGGACCACCCACCCCATTTAAGCTAATGTATTAACAACACTTGTTAGGGGAATTCGGTGCCACTGCTTACACTAATATTATTATAATATATCCTCAGGTGTTGTCACCATCTAACAAACACACTACGTACATTTATAAATTAAAATAAGTTGTTTCAAAACTAAAATATCAATAAAAGCTTTATATTATATTCTTATCCCGGGGAGCTGTAATGCAAATCGTGGTTTTCTCCACAGTCCTCGATGATACAAAAAGAAAGTTATATTCTTATCTTTAAGTTTTAGAATAAGTCAATTCACTATAATATTAAACCTAACAATAGAAAACATGCTACATTCTGCATGTAAAGTGTGATTCATTTAACTCTTTGAGGGGCCGTGGTTAGTATGCTAACCACTTTTTTTTTTACCGTTCAGGTGCGGTGGTTACTATTTTAACCACTTTTAAAATTATTTTTAATATTTTTTTGATGATGGTCAGCATACCAATCACCTTATTATCATCTTATACATGCATCAAACAATATCACTGCCGCTGGTCTGATATCATTTCTCGCATTTTTCATCATTTATTATCATTAACAATATTTTGATATACGTACTAAATGTTATGGTAAAGAGACATATTGCCCACATGGGTCTTTTTTCTAAAGGAAATTTTCGCCCCTCAAAGAGTTAACAATAATATATTAACTTTCACTATCTCGAAAAGTAATCATGTTTTAGAAAATATTTTTTAACATAATTTTAAGTTTTTAAAAAATATTCTTTTGGATAAATGTTATGATTATTATTATTATTATATATTATTCATTGTTTTTAAATTTTTTTAATGCCAATTCATTTTAAATTTCATATTCTGAAGCAGAATATTTTTTATAAAATGTTGGTTTATCTATAAAAATTAAATTTTGATCTTAAATTTAATAAGTTATAGTTTGGATGAACACAAGAGTATCCCGGAAAAATGTAACAACCCTCATCTAAAGTCTAATTAGGTACTTGTAAAAATTAAGTTCTTTGAAAGTAAGTTTTAATTATAACATTTACAGAAAAATATTTTACTTTGGAATATCAATTTAAAAATGATTGTTTTTTTAAAAAAAAAAATTTGTTTTGTTATCTTTTTAAATTATAAAAACAAATTATTTTTGAGATAATGAAAGTAATATTTACCTTGTACATTCTTAAATATTTTAGAATTTATCTATATCAGAATAATAGCTAACCGTAAAATAACTTTGTAAAAAATGTTATCATTATGAAATATTTTGTGATCAACTACTTTAAATGATATCGGCAATTATAATTTTTTTTTCTACAAGGCATAATGAACTTTAAATCACGCACAAATATAGATCAATCTTAGTCTCTCGCATCAGTAATAAGGTTCTAGCACTTCCTGGGTCATTCCCCATTGATTAAACAGAAAAAAAAACCTACTGTTCTATAAATTGATAAAAAAATTATTCAACAGTCTTTCAATTTTTAAGGTATTATTATGGTGATAAAGGTCTACAAACAACGCATATTGGCTGTACAAATACAAATAGTAAATACATTTATCATTAATTTGTTTGAGAGAAATGTATTTTATTTCAAATGAGTATACTACACAATCACAGTTTGAAAAAAATACCAGAGTTAAATATGTACCTAATCAGCATAAAAATGATTATTAACGATCTAGGTAGGTAGTTCAGAATTGAGATAAAACTTATATAAAATTAAGATACATAGTATGACTTGCTAATATGTTATCTAGATATGATAATTGTGTATAAAAGAAAATAGATATTAACAAATTGTTATAACATAAATTTAGTTATATTATGTTATGATGATTTCAATATATTCACTGAAACATAATATAATAACTAACATTTTAAGTGAATTATCAATAACAATACCTATGTTAGGTTTTCAATTGAATAAGTGCTTGAGCATGTTTTTATTTGAATTGCTAAAAGTTCTCGGTGCTTTACATAATAAATGATAAACTACATAGTATAGATTTTCAGTAAATATACTCTGGCTCGTAGCTTCACTACACGATATGCCTACAGATGATTGATTTGGTCGGGCGATCTAGGAGTATTTTTTGACCTCTACCTGATGAAAACTGGTCGTCGCCAAATATATTTCTTATGTTGAACAGAGTATGTCAGACAATAATAATTTTTGTATTTATAAACTTAAATGCAGTAATTCTTTAAGTAAATTGAATAATGCAAAATAATAAATGTTTGCTTTTATTTTATTGCATTTTTAATAGTTCAGAAACTCTTCTTTT